TGATTCTTGACAGAAACTGTGCACAGAGAAAAATATATTTTCTAAATATTAACTCGATATTAAAATTATGGTTGAAAGACTAAAATACACAGAAGAATATGAGACATAAAGCAGATTTCATGGTTTTATCTGATTTGGATTGTCTGTTTTCTGCCTGCACTATGCTAAATCCTTTGCAAAGATGTTCTCATTCAATCCTGTCAGCAATCCTAGAGACAGCTGCGAATATCTTTTTAAAAATGTGTATCATATGAAGAAACTGAGACTCAATGTCTTAAGATGACACAAAAAATGACAGAGCCAGGATTTTAAGCACTGTAACCCTGTGGTCCATTGTTTTTCCCACATTATCCTACTTCCATTTAGTTAGTCTTTTTAATGATTCATGGTCCGCATTTGTTAAGATGGTAGAAAATGCCAAATGAGTAATGGTGAATTTGGTCAAAAATATATAACCCCAAAATCTCTTTGAGAAATGAATCTTTCTGTCCCCAGTGCTAGATAGGCCACTCAGTTCATAACTATACTTCAGGGATCCCAGTAATCTGAAAGAGGTCTCTTGTTTCTGAGAGAAATCATAAACTTCAGAAGATTTATTCCTAGTAATCGTGAAAGTACAGTGGTGTGGATCAAGGGAGTGGTACTTAAGATGCCAGACCTGGAAATTATTTTAGAAATTATTATTGATTTTACAAGAGATTAAAAGCTTTTAACTAGACCTTGTGCATGTAAACTACTTTGTGATAAGTTGAATAATTACATTTCACTCTACCCAAGAGATTAAGCCATAACTTACCATGCTTTTTAGATTTTTATGTATTAAATGTCAGTTTTAACAAGACTATTTTATTCCTAAGTTATTAAAATTTTCTATACTGAATCTGAATGTTAATTTGGATTTTCTCAATCCAGATTGCATGTCAAAAGACAAAAATGTTTTTAGTGAAATTTAGCTATTTCAAAGGCTTGTTCTTTATTCTGACAATTATGTAAATTGCCTTGGAACTGTTCTATAGTGATCATGTCAGTTTTAATCATAAAGTGAGAGGAGAGTCAGACAATGCATAGCTTATTTGGGGTGCTTTTGTTAGACTTCAAAACCCAAGGGGATAAAGTATAAATCAACTACAATAAAATGCTATAAAATTCTAGTCCTAGCTGCACATTTGTCCCTTTTGAGTTACTTTAAGAGGCACTGAAACAGTAACATAATATAGAAAACATCTTAGTACATTTGCCAAGTACAAGAATCAGTATATTAACTGGCCCCAGACTATTTAATAACGTCTGCAATCACTGTTAAACATTGTTTGAGTTCTCTTTTTCAAAGATAACATTTGGTTTTTTATTTAAAAATTATAGTTTGTTTTCACACTGATTTTTGAGTTGTAATTGTCATCTCCCTAATTAAGATTCCATTTTTTTTAAATTTGATTTTTAAGTGTGTATGGATGCTTGCATGCATGCCTACCATAATGAAGTGCCTTGGTGATGAAAACCACCAATGGTGTCCTTTGAAAGGTATGAAAATATTTTACTAGAGTGAAGTGATAAAAGCAAAGTGTAAGACAGTATGTATGATTTGCTACCCTTTGTGCCAAAAATGTGTATTCGTGCTAAGCATGCTTGTCATTTCACACTTTTGGCGAGGGTAAGGAATGTGTAGGGGATCGCAAGGCTCAGGAGTAGGAAGGAGACCTACTTTTTACCATGTATCTTGCTGTATTTAAAGTTGTTTTTTACCAGGCATGTGAATTACCTATTCAAAAAATGGTTTTAATTGTTGCAGGCACCACTCAACATTATTAAAATACTAGAAGCGTGAAAGGTTACATTATATTAGTGGTTGATTTTTTTTTTATTTTTAATTTATTGGAGAGTTTATTAATGAACTTAGGTAATTCTAACTTCATGAAACTTAGCATCCTTATTCTCTGGGCTCATAGAAGTAAAGGATGACAGGCACACAGCCTATAAAAAGTAAAAATATTTTTGGGTTTCTTAGGCAATTCGAATTTTGGTTCAGGAGCGCCTGACACAGGATGCAGTTGCTAAGGCAAATCAAACAAAAGAGGTATGTTTCTATAAATCCTAAATAAGTTGTTCATGAACATTTCTTCTGGTATTGCCATGATTTAAACTTTGCATGTATCTGTTTAAGATATCCATTCTACATTGGAACAACTTAAAGGATAGCTTACTTCAGTGCTTCCTAAAGCAAATGGAATGTATTCAGTGCCTAGGGGGTCATTTTTGAGTGAAAAATCAAACTTCGCTGAAGTTCCTCTCACTTTGTATCTTAAAAAAGCTACAAGTAGCTCATTCACAGTCCACAAATTATGTCTGTGGCCTGTTGAAGTTAAATTAAAAGGATTTACCCGTATGAAACTTACTGGATTATTTTGACTCATGCTGGAGAAGAAGGAACACACCTCACTACAAATTACTTTTCTTTTTCCATATAAATTCTATCCTTGCTTTTATTTCTTCAGAGTAAATTGTTTTATTCAATTTCCTGGCATAAAACATGAGAAAGTAATTTGGCTAAGGTCACCTAGTTGGTAAGTGATTGAGCTCAGGCAGTCTGATGTGAGAGCCTGTGCTCTTATGGTAGGTGGGGAGAAGGGTCCATGTGTGGATGTCTGCATGAGCTTGTCAGTCTGCCCAAGTGAAGGGACAGGGGGTTCTGTTGGAGTATAAGGTTCAAGGTACAGGAGACTGAAATAGTATCTTTCAGTCCTACCTTGTAGGCTGAGAAAGCTATATCCCATGACTACCTTCCCGTTCAAGAGAAAATATGGAATATTTTTATATTATATCAGAAATCCATGTATGCCTAAAGTTTCACTGGCTGTGCAGCGGTAGAGAGACTGTCCTCAGGTCAGCAGCAGCATCTGATAACACCTCCCTCCTGCAGCAGTGATTGTAGTTGTAGTGAATGCCTTGGGCACAACTATGTTGTTTGTCCTCCCTGCACCCCTCCCCCATCTCCCAATGTCTTTTGTCCTCCAGCCCCTTTAGGCAGGCCCAGCAGTGTTAAAAGGTTACTAATGCCAGGGCAGCATCTCTGAAAGACACAATTTTCTTTTAAAAGTTCTTATTAGCTCGTTATATATGAATCGGGCCACTGGAAGTTGGATTAAAGATCAGCTCATTTCACCACATTATAGAACAGACAGTAAATTGTTCTGGCGTAATAAAGTCATTCATTCATTCATTCATTCAACAAAACTATGTCTGCTTTGGAAGGCAGCATAAGGCTTAGCCAAATCTCTTTGCTCTTGTTTGTAAAGTAAAATTTAGTTTTATTTTTAATGCTCCACATTTTAATTTTGGTGTCATCTCAAAAGATACCAACCTATAACAATTTAGTGGAGTTCCTATAGTTTAGTGTACTTGTAACCATTTATAACTAGTATTTGAGGCATCTGGTAGTTTTCAGGGGTAGCGTGGTGGCCTGTTGGCAGACAAAGGAAAAAAAATGGAGCCTCTGGTACTAGATGAACATATAAAGCCATTCAGTACAATTCTGCTCTTTAATTTTGTTCACTTGTGCTTTCATACCCATTGGTTTCTTCACAATCTGTTAGCTGTTTTAAAGCAGATAGAGCCTAGGTAGATTTACATTACTAGATAAGGCAAGAATTGAGCAGCAACTAAAGCATTTGAATAGTAACAGGTTGTAACATTGAAAGTATAGGTAGTGTGTGTGTTTCTTGGCAATGATTTTATATAATCAGCAGGAAGTACAGACTGCCTGTCCTCATTTTAGAGATTTGTTTCTGTGAAGTTTGGCAGCACAGAATGGCATCATCATAGTCACCATCTTTAGTATGTCCATAGGTGCTGAGTGGTTTAGTTTTTCATTTTCCTAGACTGTTTCAAAGTAACTTTCAAGTCAACTCTTGAAAGTTAAATTATACCTAAATCTTGGTAAACACCATGCTGGCTGAAAAAATACATATTTTAGATATGTTTGTACAATTTGTAAAGACAAATTAATGTGCTCAGAAATGGAATATAAGGTACTATTTTTGCCCTTCATACTGTTGCTTACAGTTACCAAAATAAGACAGTAACAGCCCTGCTCAACTCACCTTCCACAGCAGTAATGACAAGGCACTGCTGCAATAAGGATATATTATTTTGTATGCCTGGTCTAAAGGATTGGATGAGCTATAGAGCTTCCTGGTACATTTAAAGCTAATTTTTATCCCCTAACCGGTTGAAATAGGGAAAACTCGCTAATCACAAGGCAAATATAAACAAAATTCTTAGTTCCCTTACCCATGCAGCTAAAAGAGTTAAGACACCAGAATAGCTAGGTGGTTTTCAGTTTCAGATGAGAAAAGGATGCTGTTCTTAACCATAAATACTCTCATTTTGTCTTTTTTTTTTAAAGGGCTTGCCTGTTGCTTTAGACAAACATATTCTTGGTTTTGATACAGGAGGTAAGTGATTTTAAATTCAAACTATATTTTAGAGACCTAATACTTGGGGGGGAAGTAAATGGCCTTAAATACAAAAATTAAGTATTGAAGCAGTGTTCTTTTCTCATAAAACAGATGCAGTTCTTAATGAAGCTGCTCAAATTCTGCGATTGCTGCACATAGAAGAGCTCAGAGAGCTACAGACAAAAATCAATGAAGCCATAGTAGCTGTTCAGGCAATTATTGCTGATCCAAAGACAGACCACAGACTGGGAAAAGTTGGAAGATGAACACTTTAGGACTTCAGCTTCTCACCAACTTAGTACAATTGGGAACCATACACTTCTGGCATGTTTGGAAATCAAAATGTCACATTCTCGGGGGAGGAAGCCCAGAAAATTGGGTATGTTCTAGAGATTTACCACCATTGCTTTTTTTCTTTAATAAAGTTTAGGAAAGTAGAATTTTTATTATGTGCTGTATGTTTGCATAAATCACCTTTCTCCTTTGTGGTTAAGGGCATATATGTCAACCCCCAACTTTGTCCTAGAGACAATATAGATCCTTAAGTCATAGGAAAACTTAAAACACTTTATTGGAGTAATCTAGAAAATTTTAAAACTGTTACATCTTTGGTATTTATAAATGTGATACTTTCTGTGGGTACTTCTATAGAGGCACTACAGGATCAGAAAATGCAAACTGAATCATTTTAGCACCTTTTGATATAAATAGAAATGCACTGATGCAGAGGTAAAAAATTTTAGAACTTTTGTTGGGAAACTATAAATAATTGGTCCTTTCCCATCAGTTCTGCATTGGCTTCTCCAACTGTCAAGGTTTAGGATTGATTTTTATATTGATCACATGTGCTTTAATTTCTTGGCCAGAAGGAATCCATAGCAAAAATCACATGTAGAGTCTTAAACTCTTAGTTGAATGAATTTGACCTTTTAAATATTAATGATGTGTTTACAAGAAGTTGCTTTAAAGCAACAGTTAAAATTCTATTACCTTTTTAAACTTGCAATAACCTTCATTTTTAAAAATACAGTAGTAAAGATTGAGGTATCAACTTTTCACAAAAGTCTTTTTGCACTAAATAATGTTCATCTTGTATGTTCAGGAACATCTAATGGCCAATTCCTTTTTTACTTTCTTTGCCTTTGCAGTCACTGTTCTTCAGGGTCCAGGTTCTGATTGTAAACTCCAAGTCTTCCTTTACATTACTCTATTTACTTTCTTCCTGTGAGAGAAGAGCAGGGGTGGGAGAGGGTGGTGGGTGAGTATATTGTAGCCAAGTTGCAACAGCAAGTCTTTGCATTTTGTGTATAAACTAGGTAGATTTAAGGTAGTAAAGACTGGCCCTCAGGGCAGGAAGAAGGCAATGGTGGCAGTGTCACAGGCAACAGGGGTAATCAAATACCATATATATCCCCCTTCTCTACCCTGCTAATTTAAAGGAGCATCCTAAAGCATATTTTTTACCTGTTGGGCAGTAGGGGTAGACTGCAGTTATCCCGTAGAGGTGAGATCGTTGTTCTGGGAGATACTCATCAGTAAACTGGCCACTATGTTTATTTACTGATACAACACCATCCCTGGTGACAGAAAGGAAGAGTGAATTCAGGGAGAGTCATTTACAAGATTAAGAAGTTAGCTACAAAAAGTGAGTTGCAATAGAGGAAAATTTCTGGCAGTTTTCTCTGTCCAAGGGCTGATGCTAAAGCCACACTGAAGTTTGAGGGACCATTGCTCTAAATCCGTTGGTCATCTCTAGCTGCATGTTAGAATCACATGATGAGCTATCAAATCAGATTTGTAGGGCATGGGGTAAAGGGCCTAGACTTTAATGTTCCACAGTTCCTCATTTGAGAGCTCGTCTAAATAGTATTTTTTTGCTCTCTCAGGCAATATGTCCACAGTGTTAGTCAAAAACCAACTTAAGCCCTATATTCAATATAGTTCATGGTATCAAGGGTAGTCTTACTCTCTAAAGAACATATTTAGATTAATATGCTTCCTTTTGAGATAGTTCATTATCAAATAGCTTTGCTAGTTTTTAAGCTATATGTGATCAATACCATTCAATTTCTGGGTGAAGTAAAAGGATGATTTCAAAAACATGAAAGGATGAAAAGAAACATCCTTGAAGGATCTTATCTGCCAATGAGGAGGTGACAAAACAAAAGCCTCAGAGGTCTTACTGAGTAAAGTCACGTACTGACTTTTCGTAAAACAAGTGGCGTGTCCTCTGGAACAGTTGGCCTTTTCAGGCTTGTCCAGAATGTGTGGGGCTCACCTCCTCCAGTCTGTGTGGTAGAAGTGATCTGCATAGCTTACGATGCTGAAGGGGTACTTGAGGTTGTTGTGAATGACACGCCGTCCAGTTCCATCAGGTAGTGTGCACTCCAGTTTTTTGGTTCCTTTTAAAACAAAGGGGGAAAATGAGGTCCTTTTACACCACGGAGTAATAAGTTGCTTTGCCAAAAATGAATGACAGATTCCTTCTCCAAGAAAACAATGGAAGAACGGGGAAATAAGATATTTTACTTCCATTGCAGTCATAGATTAACAACTGTAATATTACCTGTCCTATTACTCGTCTCCAGTTTGTTGGATAGCATTCCAGTTTTTAGTAGAGATTCAAACTTTCAATCCTTTTTTGGAAGACAGGATTGCATTTACTGAAATCTGGTAAGTTTCTGCCTAAGTAGGGCATTAGACGTAATTATTTTTATAATTTGTGTGATTTCAAGCCTTAGCTTATAAATTATAATATCTGGATAAATACTTGTCCTTTGTAAGCTATGTGTATAATTACGGAGGCAGCCTTTTAACCAAAATCCTTAGTATTTTTAAAATATTTTCTAGGTAGGAAAAAAGTGACTAAAATGGTAACATATTTCAGTGTAAAGGAATCAGTCTTAAAAATTTTTATAATAACTAAACCAAGAATTTCCAAGTTTCACATTTCTCATGGAGCCCTGATTTAAATTTCAAATACTTTTAAGAAATGTAACTTGTTTTAAACAACTGGGTTATAAAAGTGACCTATGTGCATTATAGGCCCTTTTATTAGATTACAAATTCAAGAACAGTCTTTTTCATATTCTTTAGTATAGAACTAGACACAGTATTTTTTCAGTTGTGCTGATGAAAGCAAACAAATTTGGGTTGCTAATACCCATGCTATTACTGAAGGAAGCCACCCTGCTACAACACTTTTCAAAGAATGTCTTTAGCATTATAACAGATGTTTACAGGTAAGTTATAGTGACCCACTCTCCCTGCACCAGAATAACTTCAATTCAGTTTGTCAGTTCAACAGTGGCTAATATTTCTTTTAACCGTTAAAAATATGCCAAGCACTCATGGTCAGGCAAGCAGTACAAACTTATGCTTGATATAGCCTTCCCTCCACCCAAACCCCAGAAAGTTCATTTTAAGACTCATTTAATAGTATTTAAAAGTTTACAGAAGAAAGGAGATTATGTGCTGTACTGTTAGAAATGTGTTTAAACCAAAAGAGCTAAGTGATGGGATTTGATTTTGTAGTACAATCTATTAGTGCTCACACTCACTATAATGAGGGGTTATCTGTTTGCATTCCATCAGTAGTATTACCTGCATCTGCCCAGCAGAGCAGTTTAGAGAAAGGGTCAAAGGTTAAGCCATTGGGCAATCCAATGTCTGTATTGATCAGAATTCTTCTGTTTTCTCCATCTAAAGATGATGTTTCAATTTTAGGAGCTTCTCTATTCCAGTCTGTCCAGTACAAGTTGCTGTAAGTTAAAAATCAAGATTGTAAAAGAATAGCTATGTAGCCTGTGGTAAGCAGCATCTAAGCAGCCCGCAGTGATCTCCATCTCCTCGTGTATTATAATCTTAAGCAATCCCTTTGAGTTTGGGCTGCATTATTTAGTATCTTGCTTCTTCTAGTGAGTAGAGTATAGCAGAAGTGATAGGCCAATATTAGGTCTCAAAAACTGGTTTCTGCCTTAGGTGCTGTCTCTCGCTCCCTTTGAGGGAAGCTGGATGCCATGTTGCAACCTACCCTATAAAGAGGAACATGTGCCAAGGAACTGATGTTCTTGAGGGCTGTTGGCCAGAGACATTAGTCCTGCCTACAACCCATGTGAGCATGCTTGGACTGTATCTTCCCCAAGCTGAGCCTTGAGATCACTGCAGTTTGGCCATTACCTGATTGTAGCCTTGTGAGAGACTCCATGCCTGAGGAGCTCAGTGAAGACACACTTGGATTCCTGACTCAGAGAAACTGTGAGACTAAATGTTGTCTTAAACTGCTGAGGGTTTGGGCAATTTGTTACACAGCTCTAGAGGTAACACAGCCATATTCCACTTCTACCTGTGTCACACGGTTTTCTGATTATTGTAACTATGCGGAAGAAGTCATTACTAAACTACTATCAGAATCCCTGCCTCCAAGATACCCCCGTTGACTCAACTGCCCCAAAACCCTCTGTTTGTTGAAATCTTGAATTGAATCTTGGGTTTTGAATAGAAACAAAGGCAGCTGTTAGGAATGGCTTCGATATAAACTGTGGAACTTGAAGAGACGTGGACCAGGGATTTTAGAGGGAAACTGTTCTTTTTCTGCCAAAAATACAATTTGGTACTTGAAGGGGAATCTCGATTGTCCTGTACCTGGCACCCAGGGATGGAAGCCTTTTAAGTTAAGCACTTTACCTTTTAAATGCCACGTTAAAAATGAAAGATATTCATAACAGATACTAACTAGGAAATAATATGGTCCTATTAAGTGGAAATAGATTATTATAAGGAAACAGGTTTATAGAGCAGAAATAATGTTGAAAGCACTTTTTATAAAATACTGTTTTATAAAAGCTATAGAAGCTTTGAATAAATCAGTTGAGCTATAGAGAACCTCAGAGAGAGAAGAAACCATAGGTTACCCACCCCGGTTGTGAATTTCATCCCTTATGCCTAGATGAAGCAGAGAGAAGCTGAGAGCAAAAGCCAGAAAGCAGTTTCCACTTTGTGCTAAGGTGGAGGTGGCCAGAAGGTAAAGCATGCATATCACTCCTTCATCCCTTCTGATCAGTCTCCTCCCCAAAATGATTTAATATCATCAAAAACGTCTGAAATAAGCTCACACAGGTATCTGGTATAGATGATTTGGGGATTGCCAGAGGAAGAATGTTGTCAAGGTGAAATCTATAGAAAGCAAATGAGAAATATGCAGGAAGGCTTGGCAGCCATTCTGTTAAGCAGTTCAGGGAGATGTCATACATGTGTTTTATTGAAACCTGGTTCAAGGTGGGTTTTCTTTTCATCAAAAATTAAGTCCTTTAGCATTTCTATTTGCTGTCTGGATAAGAAAATTCTACTTTCATCTTGGCTGTGTTGTGGATTGCAGCTTAAAAGTATGCTTTTTACCCAGACTCCAGAGACATGGCCAAGGTATCACTGCTTACAAGATGGCAGCTCTCCCCAGTTTTCAGGTCAAGTACCAAGAAGGAATGAGGGGCCAGACACAGTGTCTCATGCCTGTAATCCCAGCCACTTTGGGAACCCAAGGTGGGTGGATCACCCAGGGTCAGGAGTTGGAGACCAAAATGGCAAAACCCTGTCTCGACTAAAAATACAAAAATTAGCTGGACATGGTGGCACATGCCTGTAATCCCAGTTACTCAGGAGGCAGAGTTTGCAGTTAGCCAAGATTGTGCCACTGCACTCCAGCCTCGGCAACAAAGCAAGACCTTGTTTCAAAACAAAACAAACAAAAAAAAACACCTTCCAAATGTCAGAAAGGCAAGCCTATGGAAAGAGTTTTTAAGAGGGCTATTAATTCATGTTGTTAAGTCAACTGGAATAGAGAGACACCTTTTCCTGTGTGTAGAACCCAAAGTTTGAAACCACCTTTGAGGCTCTGCACTAAGTATTTCATAGTCAAAAAGCACTTACCACCTGAAAATTAAAGCTGAAGGTTTTCTTTACTGATTCGAAGGGCATCAGGGAATTTCATTTCACAGAAACTCCACTTAAACATGGCAAGAGTTTCTCAAGATATAAAAATTCACCCTGGTTCTAACAAGTACTGAGACACTGAACAAATCCTGTATGTCACATTTGATGACCTTAGCAATTATCACAGACAGGGAAAATGTTTATCTTGATTTCTGCTACAGCAACACTGAGGCCAGAGGTGCTGCCTGAGCTTTGGTTAATGTCACTTGATGTAGGTCAGCCCTACCGTGGGCTTCAACCCTGGTTTCTAAATGTGCTGCTGGAGGAGTCCCACTTCACTTCCAGTTTAAGTGTCCTCTGACACCTTGCCTGATCATTTGATTCAGAGTAGCCCTAATTCTCACAACACGATCTGAATTTTCTACATATCACATCACAGACTAATACTGTTTATACAGTCTTGTTTCCTCCTCATAGAATATGTGCCATGAAAGAACAGACCTTGTCTTTTCCTAGAGCAAGTCCTGACACCTAGTAGATCCTCAGTAAATCTTTGTTACAGGAATGCATTTGAGCTTTCACACACTCTTGTGTTCTGACCTTCCTCACACCATTTAAAACCCAAGGGCTTCACATCAGGATCTACAGGTAAGAGGAGAATTAGGGAAGCCCAGCTGACCCTCGGATTGGATCCACAGCGATGGCGCGGGGATTCACCAGATCTGTGTGGAAGAGGACCTTGCGCTCAGAGCCATCCAGCAGGGCGCTCTCTATCTTATCCATGACACTGTCTGTCCAGTACATTGTTCTGCGGATGTGGTCGATGGCAAGTCCTTCAGGGCTTATCAGACCTGGAAATAAAGCAAAGTCAGGACTGGAATGTTTGCAGGATATGGAGGGCAAACCTGAAGCCCTCCAGGAGTGGGGTGGGGCAGGGGGTCAGCAGGGGAAAACAAAGCCCAAGTGGCTCTAAGTCCCCAAGAACCAGGTTAATAGAGAAACGAGTACTTTTGTTACATATTCTACTACCTCTAGCTTCTAGACCAGCAGACCTACCAGTTTGATGACAGCCGGCATCCACAGTGCCAGAGCCAGACTGAATAAACCGAGGCCTCACCCTGAATTCTTACCATGAGAGTTCTGTTCTTTTGAGAAGCGCTCACAGTAGGAATCACCTATTTCATTCCTTATGTAATGAAGGTGTTTGCTTACAGAGGGGCTAGTCTTATACAGCTCAATAAAATGACTTGCCTAGAACTTAACCTCCCCTAGTAGAGAAAAATCGACGGGAGACTTCAGCGTAAAGTAGACAAGTGACTTTGTAGAATCAAATGAAATGCAGACTCTGCTGAGTGAAGCTGCTGACCTGAATTCACGATTGTCTCAGGCTCTGCTCCCAGTTCCAGACTGGCACGGCTGATTGTCCGTCCAGCGACATCTGTCCAGTACACCATCCTCTCCCGGCAGTCGTAATCAATCCCCACGATTATGGAGCCCTTTGTACACCAAATCATAGAAGAATTAGGTTACATTTCCCCTTTGTTCACACTCAGCTGCCTTGCTCATGTACGGCTGCAGTGAGCAACACTGCACTGTGATCCTGCAGGCAGCAGAGCAGAGTAGCTGGACATGTGGGCACTCTGGGGTGATATCCAGGCTCAGCCACTTACTAGCCGTGTGGCTTTGGGCATTTAACCTCTCTCTGCCTTTGTCTCATTTGCAAAATGAGGCCAATAGTGTACCTGCTTCATATGGTTTCTATAAAAATACTGTAAATGCTTGTAAAGTCTCCTAATTAGTAATTGTTATACAGTAAGCCCTTCAATAAGTGCTATTATGACTGATTAAAAAAAAAGCTCCTTCAGTAATTAGAGGACATGGCCTTAAGCAAAATAAGTTTTTAATATTTTACTGGGTAAAAACTGAATCCTTTCCCAATGTCATCAGCACTTTTCCAAGAGCCTTAATAAAATTTGCCACTATATGCCAACAAAATCTACTCTCCCCTCCTCTGTGAATATGAGATCTTTCCTCTACCTGAAGTGCAATCACCTATACTCTTGCCCCTGACTCTTAGAAGGAGACACGACATTGGTTATATCCTGTATTAAAGTACAGCCAGGCACAGTGACACGCCTGTAATTCCTGTCCGTTGGGAGGCCAAAGCAGGAGGATTGCTTGAGCCCAGGAGTTTGAGACAGCAACATAGTGAGACCCCCCTCTAAAAAAAAGAAAAAAATTGACTGGGCATGGTGGCACGCACCTGTAGTCCCAGCTACTCAGGAGGCTGAGGTGGGAGGATCGCTTGAGCCCAGGAGATCAAGGCTGCAGCAAGCTGAGATGGTGCCACTGAACTCCAGCCTGGGCAACAGAGCTACACCCTGTCTCAAAAGAAGGAAAAAGTCTATAATTTGTTGGGTTAAGGAACTAGGGAGTAGTGGTCATCCAACCTTTGGCTAGTGAGGTCTCTCCTCATTGCTAAATAAATGAGTCTTTAAAAAAAAAATGCTGAGTCTGACATTTTTCTACAACTCCATGCAGAACTTGCTTCGTTCAGTGTTCAATCCAGGCTCCTGCTCTGAGAAGCCAACATTCAGGGATTATCTGGCTGTCCCTGAGGTCATACAAGTTCCTGCCTTGCCTAACAGCCTCCTGAGGCTTGGCTTCACTTACGCCCCCTGGGAGCATAGTCAGCACAAGAAAGATTGTACAAAACGGGATTTGGCTCCAGTGGGGGGTTGGGAGGGGAGGGCTAAGGTCAACTACACTTTTATTTGAAAATTAAAAGGTCATTTGTCCCAGGCAAGAGTACACATTGAAATGAGCTTCCATTAACCCAGGGAATCATGGGATTCATAAACCCATGTCGTAACCTCAGGTTAGAGAAAACGTCCCAGTTTTTTCCTTTAAGTAAATTTCCTTAAAATGTGCAAATAACCCATGTCCCATATCTTTCATTTCCACTACCACTACCATCACCACCCTGTCCTGCTCAGGGACATGTTCAGAAAGGCAATCAAGCTCTGTGACTTGACTAGAATAAAAGAGGGTTAGCTTAAAGTGATGTCAACTTCTTAGTCTCTACCTCTTCCAGAGAAAGTTTTACAAAACAATGTGAGAGTTTTCTTGGGGGAGGGGATAGGACCCAAAAACTCGAATCCTAAAAAGAACACATCTCTTCCTAAACACTGGCTGTTTCTAAGCTTTTCTGGAACCAAATAAGTCATTGATTTACAGAAGTAAATGTAAACATGAATGCCGTACTGTTCTTTCTTACAGATGAGCAAGTGCCTGGAGTGTGAAGTTCAACAATGGAATTAGATGATTTTCCACTGTGTCGATGCCGTTCTAGAGAGCTACCCTTGTTTTTCCCCCATTTTAGAGAAAACCCTCTCCCCAGAATGGGGTGCCTTGCATTAGGGAGGCTGCTGGCTCAGGAAGCATCAAGCATCCCCTGGGGAAGGCGCCATCCACTCCTCTCCCAGCGTCACACACCCCTCAAGTTTTTATCTAGAGTCAGGGAAGCTTAGGAAAGAAGTGGGTCAAAGGGACAGAACCAAAGTGAAAGGGAAGGGCTGCAATGGCAAGACAGTCATTAACTGACTTCCACTTGGGAGTCCCCAACAAATCGCAGACACCACACCTTGTGGCTAGTCCTTCTGTCACTTTGATTTCCAGGATTTCTATGGAGATGGTATGACATACAGAGAACCCTGAGGACTTAGGGTAAGAGTCTGTCCGTTTTCCCTTGGATCACCATACAGCCTCCATATGCTGACAACTCTACAGTTCCCTTTCCATATATCTGAAACCCCATGAACAAACCAGAGAGTACAGCCTTGGTCAGTGACAGGTGACCCCCAGCAACAGAGAGCCCTGGTTCTGTGGTGGTGGCATCAGGCCCATGCAAATGGGCTGCAGCTCAGAAACCCTCCAGGACTTCCCTGCCCCAGTCCACTGCACCGCAACAGGGCCTGTGAGGTGGCTCCCACTGGGAAAGCCACGCAGCCCCCGCCCCCCACAGCAGAAATCCACTTTACATGCAGAGACAGCAGGGTCTTGGCTGCATCCTTCTGAAGCCTGGTGCCATTGAGGGGCAAGTAGCCAATCTGCTGGCCCTGGGTATAGAGCAGGAAGGTGCCCACAGATGGAGGGGTCACATCTGGCCGGGGCGTGGGCCGGACCATGGGTGGAGCGACGGTGGGTATACCTGTGGGAGAGGGTGGGAGAGGAGGAAGGGGAACAAGGGCAGGCAGGGAGATGGGAAGAAAAGTTACTTTACCACATACCAGAGCCTCCAAAAATATCAAAAGTTCTTTGCCCAACGCAGATGTGCTCCAGATGTTCTTCAAAAGAAATTTTAATTTCTAGGGTTTTTTTAAGGATCAATTATGTAAATCTGCCATTTACTAGGGAAGAAGGCAGCAAAACACTTCCTTCAGAACAAAGCAGAACAGGTTTTTTGTTTTTCAAGAAAGAAAAAAAAACAGAGCCAGCACTGTGTCAGCTTCCTTTTAGGACTCCAGAGTGACATGTGTCCCCTGTCGCCCTGGGCTTGGGAGGGGGAGTAACTGCCTGCTGAACTGAGTTGCAGATGTTCCAATTATGGAAACTGTTAATGACAAAAACCAGACACCAAAAGCAAATTGGGATCTTGCGTGGACCAGATTATAAATCAACATAGCACGTAGTGACTTCTTTCATTAGACCTGGTGACCCCAACACGTCCCCCTACTTCACCACAGCAGACAGCATCCCTAGCAAAGGCCTTAAGTTCAGCTGAGGGGAGCGGGGGCGGCCCGGTGCTTACACGCAGGGGTGGTGCCTGGCTGGGAGCGGGTGCCCTGCACCTCTCTGCCATCTTTGTCCACACACCAGCAGAAGTCGCTCTTTCCATGGCACTGCAGGGGGGTGAAGTGGCCCAGGTCATCGCACTGGGGCACGTACTGGTCATCCCGGGGGGTACCGCCGTAGTGCTCCAGCAGGTTTTCCCTCCAGCGCTCACAGATGGTCGGGGGCCTCTGGGTGGGCTCTGAGCAGATGGGGAAGAGGGAAGAAGAAAAGCCTTTGATTGTGAGCCAAAGACAGAATGCAAAATGTAGCTCGAGACCCCATGCCTGGCCTCCTGGCCTTCCTTCTCCTACTGTCCAGGTCTCAGCCAAGCCCGTGGACACCAAACTTGGGAAGCAAATGTGTTCTAAGTACTCTACCATGGGAATCAGAAAGAGATCATCTGATGCTTCTTTCTTGCCAGGAGGGTCTGTCATCAAGGCCCAGCCACATCAAGAATAAGAGGAGGTAAGGTCAGCAGTGCAGCTCACTCAGCCTGGGAAGGGGCATGATCTCCCTCTGGCCAGGAGAGGCCCACAAGGCCCATCCTGCCTGCACCTTGGGCACCTCTGCTGATGGAGCATTTGTGCAGGTGATCCTTGGGGACTCAGTGGCCGAGGTGATGCTTAAAGCCAATTTGTATTCATTCCCCACTTGCTTCAAGCTTCAAGCTCCAGGACCTGCTGAGGAGAGGGCCATCTTGCGCCTGGCCAGTGTGCGCCTTAGAAAGTATTACCAAAAGCCCAACTATGCCACGGCGCCCTCTGTCTACCCACTGGAAAACTACATGGAATAAAGGTAAAACTGAGTGGAATTAGTAGTGAAGTATAGCAGAGGTGGTGGCAAACAGCTTAAAAATGGTTCTTACAGAGCCCAGTTTCCAGAAGTGCTTTACCCACCCTGCGCCTGGGATTATCTCAAAGCTGAATCTTTTCCTGCAGGCTCTAGCTTCCTGCCATGTTGCCCTTTCCCCCCCTTTCTCCAGTATCCTCCTCTTATCCCCTCCCCTCACAGCTCTCTCTGTGGTTAAAGTCCTTCTGGCTTCGGCTGCAAAGCAGTTTCCTCCCAGGCTGCTTCCACAGTGCCATTGAGGCTTTGTTCAAAATACAGGTGGTTCTGAGCAGACTCTGCTGCAGCAGGTTATTGAGATAACTTATTCATTTATGTTAGGACTACCCAAAGGAACTTAAACAAGAGGAGGTACTTCTCCTTCCTTTTTAATTCCTGCAACTTAAAGCGTACAGTCTGCAGAATCACATAGCCAATAATCCCACTTGCTGCCACCATTTAGATGTATAATAGAAATCAGAAACTGATAGAAACTGAGCCCCTGCCTTCACCATCAAACCAGATGCTCCCCTAGTCTTTCCCATAGGAGTAAATGGCACCTCCATTTTTCCACTGCTCAGACCTGATTATCCTTGACCCTCCTTTCTTCCACCATCCACATCTGATTCATCAAAAACTCTTTTTAGTGGTACCTTCAGAATCCACTTAGAATATCTTTACTTCTCACTACTGTACCCCCCCCCCTTCACCCTGGTCAAAAAGCCTCATCCTCTCCCTGGGATTTCTGCAACAGCCTTCCCACTGGTTTTCCCGCTTCCACCCTTCTATGCCCTCACTCTCTGCAAAACCAATGTAAACTCAATTAGCAGCAGCCAGAATGGTCCATTTAAAATATAAAGGCATTTCATGTCACTCTGCTCAAAACCCTCCAATGACTCCAACGAACAAAGTTGGGAACATTATGATCAGGCTCCAGCACCTACAGTTCCTCTTGGAACACAAAAGGCTGCGAATGAAGTTGTCAGAGCTCAAACCCAACTAGCTCAACTGCACGACTCACCAAAGTTGGGGGAAGCGAATGCCATTTAGTTGTCACTGTAGCTTATGACCCATGGGAGGCAAAGCTCTTTTTAAGACCCTGTGGAGAAGGTTAAGACTCTGACTTCTTCACCCAAATGTGTCTCAATGGAACACAGAGAGGGAAATGCTACTTCCTCAAACACTGCAGGATTCCCTGGAGAAGTTCCCAACTCCACCCCTGCTCCACATTCAGACCTCCAAGGATCCTTTTTTGCTTTAAGGGACCACCCTGTGCTGTGTGTCTGCCTTCCAAACAAAGAGACGCACCTAACCCCTGGGAAATGGGTGTCTCAAATCACTCATACATGGGCATCCCTTTCATTCGTTACTATTTGCTACTTTTCAACCCAACCATGAATGTCTTTCTCTTGTGCTTCTGGTTGGCAGGGGTTTAAGTATTTTGAAATCAGGGGCACAGAGCATCCTTACCCTCCCTGAAGCTGACCCCATCAAAGATGAGACCAGTCAGAGAGAGCAGCCGGGTCCAAACCAGTGCCGAGAGAGTGTGTGGGCAGGAGAAAGTCCGCACAAGGGAACACGGCCCTATTTTCGTCCTTCACTTCTCAGTCTCTTGGTTCCCCCTTAAAATCATTGTCCTGAACACATGCTTGTCTTAATAAATTTAATTGAATTCTGAACCATTCCCCAAAGGCACCTCCCAACCATCTGATTTCTTCAAATCCCAGACAGAGTTAGAACGACATTTTCAAAGAGAAGGCATGAGGGAAATAGAATTTCTCTGTACCTTTTTTGGACCTTTAAAATCTTTTCCTAAAAATAGAAACAAAGAGGGACTATGGATCAAGCCATTACCAATTTTTACCTATATGAATCTGGGAACCACCAAGACCTGGCTTTAAAAATTTTTTTTTTATTTTTAAGCAGTCTTACTCTGTCACCAGGCTGGAGTGCAGTGGCACGATCTCAGCCTACTGCAACCTCCGCCTCCTGGGTTCAAGTGATTCTCCTGCCTCAGCCTCCTGAGTAGCTGGGACTACAGGTGCATGTCACCGCGCCCAGCTAATTTTTGTATTTTTAGTAGAGACAGGGTTTCACCATGTTGGCCAGGATGGTCTCAATCTCTTGACCTCATGATCCATCCGCCTCAGCCTCCCAAAGTGCTGGGATTACAGGCATGATCCACCATACCCGGGCAACAATTAACACCATTAAAAGGGGAAAAAACTATTGGGGTAATTCTCCAGTTCTTCTTACTTTCACACATTAAAAGCCAAGACTAGTATTTATGGAACCCTTCTCGATAGTAAAAATGGATCTTTGGATAGCAAGCTGTATAGGAATCATTTTGGCTAAAACTGTATCAAACCAATCCTATGTTCTTCATTAAATAAAGTTTTTCTGTAATGATTAAGGAAAAAAGTTTTACCCATCCCTGAATAATGCAGCAAGGAACAGAAAGTTGCCTTATCCGCCTGCTGTTGTAATCGACTGTGAACACTTGATCACCGTGCCCCACACAGATGCAGCATGCTCAGATGGTAGCAGGCATGTTCTCAGATTGTATATGGGCTAACCGAAACCAGATGCCTGTGCCTCCTCTGAGATGTTGGGCTACGTTACAGAGGGCTGGGATTATCAGTTTAGAGAAAACTAGCTGGATCCACCAGCAGGTGTCATTTTTCTTATTTTTCCTATTGATATTAACACAGCCTTCATACTGTTTCCTGTCATTCAGAAGGCAGAGGTAAGTGAGATAGTTACATAGGAAGGCAGTTTTCCTTCTCGTCAAAACGCCAGTCTGGCCATATCTTCTAACTGTCAGATCTCTCTAAGATGGTGTAACAGGTCTAAGGTAGTGGGTCTCAGTCTGACCTACATACACAATCTCAACTTCCAGTTTGTACTGGACAAGGGTCTAAGAGGCCAATGTGTAACAGATCATGTGTCATGTATTTTATATCTCTATGTCCTTATGACACAAACACGAATATATGTACGCACTATCATTCAAGTCTTCTCAGGAGGAAAGGGGCTATGAAGGATGGTGACTGGCCCTGTGCCTGCATGGTCTGGGCAGGAATTATGATCTACCCGCCACCAGTGCCATTCTGCTTCTTTAGCCCCAGGCCTAAGCTCACCTGGTGGTGGTCCACAGTGAGGCGGTGTGGAGCCAGGTGGAGTCTGGGTACCAGGAACTTCATGACCATCAGGGTCTACGCACCAGCAGAAGCCAGTGCTGCCGTGACACTGTAGGGGCAGGAAGTTGCCCTGTTCGTCGCATTGGGGGATGTGGAACCGGGCCCCAGGGTGGGCATACTGGGCCTGGGCATGGCGCTGCTGTTGTTCACAATGCGTCAGGCTTGAGGTGGAGTCTCCCAGGATCAAGGCAGAGGAAGACACAGAAGAGAAATAGAAGGCATTGCAACCCATCCAATTCACCAGCCCACAGCATGGCATGGAAAGGCACTGGGATTTTGGAGCCCTAGATTCTTACGTTATAATACCTTGCCACTGTTTATCTCGTTTCTCCCGGGTTCTTCCAGTTCATCCTGTAGGTCCCTAGCTGGCTCTAAGTGTAAAGCAGCCCAGCCCCTCCCTATTGTCATCTGGGGAAAATGAGGGGCAGCCGTGGCATCTGCCCAACATCCCAAGAGACTCTGGAGAAAACAAGCCAAAGCTCATTCATCCTGAGGCCCAGAGGTTAAGTCTGAGAAGCTGCAGGCCAACGGCAGTCACCAGACTGCACCAAGCTGGCCAAGCTCCTCTAACACTGTCGCCATGGGCTTAACCCTGGCTACCGGTGCATATGGCTCCTGTTTAATAAGCTTGATCTCAACACTTCATCCAAATTGCACTCATCAAGGTCAAGCGGATCACTAGGGCAGTTAACCAGAGCTGCTATGAGATGGGACAATGGATGGGTCATCTCCTGCAGGCCTCCAGGAATGTCACGAATCAGTGAACTATCAGTAAACTAGGCAGCAGGAGGTAACTGAGGAAAAAAAATCCACAGCCTGGAAAATCCAGCAAGGCTTCAGATCAGGCTAAATCAAGAGTGGGCTGTCATAGAAAAATACCCTTGAAGGAGCTAAGAGATTCACGTGCCTAATCTGGCCCTCTAAAACTTACCAGGTATGCACTGAAATCCATCCCCATAATATCCAGGTTGACAACGGCAGGAGAAGGAACCAGGAGTATTGTAGCAGGTAGCTGCGGGGTGACATCTGTTTTCTGAGCATTCGTCTATATCTGCAGAGGTGAGAAACAGAAGAGAGAAGCAAAGAACACTATGACTTCACTCACACAATCTGTGCAACTGCATGGGCTTTGGACACGTGGATCATCATCCAGTGAGGTGTCAGCTTCAGAAGACCTTTGAGTATGAGCAGAAAAATGCTGACACCTAAAGGTAGGCTTAATAGAAAGGAAAAAAAAAATCAAGGAGCATGTGAGTTAACACATCAGACTAAACATGTTCAGTGTAGAAATCAAATGGGTAGTCACTCACAGAAAAGAAAAAAAAATACATCCTACAGCATGTTTCATTGACAGTGAATTCAAGGAAGTTAATTACCTTTGAACTAACCTTTAGACTACAAGTCATTAACTTCCTTTCAGCAATGCTGCAACAAAGACAAATACATCCAACAATGGTTTTTTTTTTTTCTTTCGTTGTTGGCACCATCTCCATGTAACTAACATTCGTCTATAGATGCAAAGGAGCCAGATGAGGCCCCAAATATTTTTCAGCTAAGAAGCACATTCCATCTTGCCTAATCAGAATCTTACTATCTAGAACCACACCCCCATTAGCCAGGTATTTTCTTTACTTTCCACTTTTAGAAGAAATAAGAATATTATCTAGGGTTTTAAAATAATACTTAGAAAATGGAAATCTAATTTTGCTGGGCATATCAGTACAAACAATTCAGGCCCCTACACTCTCCACATGGCACCACGAGGATTAATTTTCACCATCATATTTCTCAAAACTACAAAATCCTGACACTTCAAAGAAAAGCCAACTTACATTCCTTTTATTTAATGAAATCCACATATGCCAACAATGTCAATGTGACAAAGTCACTCCCCCACCCCCCATCCCCAGCAGAAAAAAAGCAGCTCTGAGAATTGAATGGTTAAAGGGATGAGATAAGCTATCTTAAGAGACAGGAAGTCTTTCAGAGTAAAAGGAGGATAAACAAAGGGTGTAGGTCCAATTAAGGCTTGGCTGAAAATAAAACAAAGCAGTGGTTCCATCCATCGCAATAACCAAGTTTCTTTAAAATGTGTGAATAGAAAAAAAAAAAATGTGGGATGGTGTGATCAGTGTGAAACCTAGAAAATGAGTGTGTGTTGCATCAGTATGGTGCAGCCCACGGTAGAGACACATAGGCCTGGGAAGACAGAGATTTGAAGCCCTAGATTTGATGTGAGTGGGTTGGGAACAGGGCTAGCTCCTCACCCAGCCTCCCATGACCCACATGGAACCTCTTTCTAGGGTTACCTGCACCACCCTTTGTCCAGACCACACTGTCACTGGCTTATCCTCTAGTAACTCATGTTCTTTCTCGAGTACCACTAAGTACACACACTGGGCATTAAGCATAAGGTGTTCTGTTCACTGGAGAGGAATCTTTTATGCTATAATTAGAAAGTAAGCATTCTGCTTCTCTTCTGTCTCTGGGGAGTTTAGTCAGCATATATCAGTTCCTTGGAGTCCTCCCCACAAAAAGTTCTGAATACTCAATGCAACCCACAGAGTCTCCACCCAGGTGAGTGACTGGCCTCCTTGGATACCATCATTTCACCTACAAAGGCAAGAAAGCGGATATTAATTCATCTGCAAGGGTAGAAATAAACCAAGTGTTCTGGTTGGCTCCTCAGTTGCCCAAAAATCAACCAATGTTGTCATAATTATCCTTGAGCTTGGCTCTGTCTCTTCAACAGGGCAACTCAAATGCCCAGCTGGGCAAAACCGATGACCTGACCGTCCAACACCTTGGACCTGGAAGAGGCTGTAAAACTGGCTGTAAAACTAAAGCTGTAAAAATTAACATCCAGCCAAATGCAGGAAATTAAAGCTATTCACAATACACATGCTAAAAGGACTTCTAATGGTAACAGGAACCCCAAGAAATGACAGGAAGCAGGAATTCCTGAGACACAGGGCCTATTTCTGGAGCCCATGGAGCAGTTTCTTATTGTTATTTTTGAACTAAAGAGAGAGGGGATTCCCCAGAGCTACCAAATAAATCACTGATGTGCTTAGAACCTTCAGCCTAAGAATTCTGACTAAATCTGAAAAACCAGCCTTCCTCCCCAAAGATACTGTTGGCATCATCAAAGATACTAAAGTTTTGGGTAGATAGAAGCTATTAGAAATGACCAACAAGGAGGAGAAAGTCCCCAAAGAGACTGAAGATATCACAAGTGAGAAATTCCTGCCCCAAAGATCAAGAATCCCTGACCTGCAGTCCTGACTCCTCCTCGGAGGGCCTCTCACACCATGATAGGGACGAGAGTCCAGCTAGTCCCTCCAGGCCCTAAGCATGCATGCACACGACTTCAGACATCAACAAAGAAAACATGGAAAGACTTTCAGCCCCCTGGCAAGGGAGGAACTTTATTGCACTATTGGAGAAGGAGGCCACTACTTATTCTTAGTCATTACTATCAGAGGTCTATAGGGACTGCTATAAAGACAAAAACATTCAAGAAGTAGTAGAGCCCCTTTCTCAGGTAATGAAAGGTAGCTTAATCTCAATGCAATCCTCCACTCTATCATCTGTTAAGCTGGTAAAGAAACTGTTTGGAAGATGTGTTAAAAATCCTTTGAGTTCATGCTTTTGTGCTTCAACACCCTTCTCACCGCCCCAATACTGAGCAAAACCACTAGGAACTGCTTGATGATAAACCTAACCACTGGCCTCGAGTTCCCCCAGGCTCCCGCCCCTTCACCACCGCCCACTTGCCTTTGAGCCCAGTGAAATTTCCTGGCATCAATTAACCTCAAACCCACCCCAGATCCCAATAAAGGCTTCAGCCCACAGGTCCCACTCTCTTTCTACTCCATAATCTGTTCAGTTGGGCACCCTGCTGATTGCACCCCTGCGTGGCATGTGGTGAACCCACTGCAGACCTGTGAGTGTAATAAACTACTTCCTTTCAAGTTTCATCCTTGCCTCCTCCTGTAACCACACTGATTTTACCATACTATACCCAACATCTACCTACATTCTTGGAACAGGAAACCTGGCCAGGCACACAATGGAGATAACGCTTTTGTTATCAAAAAAGAGAGAAGCTAGGCCGGGTGTGGTGGCTCACGCCTGTAATCCCAGCACTTTGGGAGGCTGAGGGGAGTAGATGGATTGAGCTCAGGAGTTTGAGACCAGCCTGGGCAACATGATGAAACCCCCTCTCTACAAGAGATACCAAAATTAGCTGGGCATGGTGGTATGCACCTGTAGTCCCAGCTACTTGGGGGGCTGAGGTGAGAGGATCACTTGAGCCTGGAAGGTTGAGGCTGCAGTGAGCTATAATCACACCATTGCCCTCCAGCCTGGGTGATAAAGTAAGACCCTGCCTCAAAAAAATAAAAATAAAAAAAAAAGAAAGAAAAGAAAAGAAAAAGAAAAACACCAGGAAACCCAAGAAAGAATAATGTCAGTATCTACCCTTAGGCTCCTCCTGAGTAATGATGACTCTGGGTAATGGGCCATCTGTAACCCAGCTTCCTCCACTCACACTTGCTCCTCCTGGGAAGGTCCCAACTCAAGACAATCTGCTTTTGCACCTGGCCAAGTCACAACAATCCAAAAGGACAAACATGTCTGAGAAATATCCAGCTCACACCAACACAAGTTTGAAATCACTCCAGATTGAGGGAAGCTGCAGAGGATTTAACTCTACTTGGATAAAAGCCTCCTGGCTAGTGACTCAGACCAGACTTGAGAACCCAAATCCAAGTGCAGCCTCTCCAGGGAGCCGGGTTTTTAACAAACTGTGGCTGGAGAAAAACTCCCACACCCCCTTATTGTTAGTTTGATGGAGTAAAAGAGCACATGTGCTTTAACAATGCATAGCTCCCACAAAATACAGCCTCTATTCTTTGTCACTGAGACACATGTGTACTATGGAATGCCTTTAAATATGCACACATACACATATATTTCTATATTTATTCTTCAAGTTCCTTTCATGATTAGCCTAGCCTGATTTATGCACGGGTCTTTAGGAAAATGACCATTCATTCTCTACTACTCCACAATCTGGAAGTTTAGAAGGCAGCCACATGGTAAGTGGCTGTGGTAGGCAGCCTCTAAGATGGCCCCCAGCAATCCCTACCTAGTGGGATTCATGGTCTTGTGTAATCCCTGCCCTTTTAGTAACTTGCTTTTAATCAATAAAGCAACATTGAAGGGATGTTATTTTTGTGATTATGTCTTCCATCTTGCTAGCAGACTTTCTCTGGCATTAATAAAGTAAGCTGTCATGTTAGAGAGGCCCAAGTGACAAAAAACTGAAGGCAACCAACAACCAGCAAGGAACCAAGGCTTTCAATCCAATGGTCCTCAAAGAACCGAATCCTGCCCATAACCATGAGTGGATCTTTCCCCAGTTAAGCCTGCAGATGAGACCACAGACCCACCAGACACTTTGACTGTGGCCTTGTGAGAGATCCTAAAGCACAGGACCCAGCTGGGCCATTCCCAGGTCCCTGGACCACTGATATTAAATGTCTATTGTTTGAAGCTGCTACACTTTAGGGTAATTTGTTACACAGCAATAGATAACCAATACACTGGGGAAGCATCTGATGGGTTTGGCATATTTTTAGTTTGTAGGCTTTGGAAAGAATCCTAAAAGCAGAGAGCCAGAAATAAAATAGGGACAATTGAAAATGGCAAAAATAGAGAGGGCAAATAAAAGACAATACTTAAATTCCCAATATGAAAAAGTAGCCAATTTCAGAGCCCTAACATGACCCCAGAAGGTAACCAAAGTCTTGCAGGACAAATAGAAGAAAAAAGGAGGGAGAGAATAATCATTTTAGAAGTGATCAAAGCATGCAGCATCTAAATTAATATTCTGATTAACACTCATCACATCTAGGCTGAAATTAATTTCAACTTCTTTGCTTTAAACCAGAGCACTAAGGAATTAAATATTTTAAAAGCACCATCTCTGCTGATCTGAGCAGCCAGATGTTTAAATAAGAAATTCTACAGACAAGATTTTTCTCAATGGATTCACATTTCTTAGAGCTGGTACTAGGGTTAAACCAAACCAAATGATGTGTTCCACAAGAAGGAAAAGCATCATTCCCACTGTCAGGCTTTGGCATCTCACCCGAACTCCATACCTGTAGAGGGTATCTGTAAAGAGTATACCTATTACAGATATACTCAATGTTTTCTCACCAGTTTATCTATGACAGATGGAGCTCCTGGCTGGTTAAGTGGGACAAACATCTGTGAATTACAAATCTACCTCATTCTAATTGGGAAATACTCTTTATCTAGAGCTAGGGGTGTTTATTCAAGAGGTCCATAGTCTTCTTACATGACTGGGCCTAATACCAAGACACACAGGAATCCCAACTGAGGGTTAGCATCTGCATTAGTCAATTTCCTGTTGTTTATAACAGAATATCTGAAACTGAGTAATTTCTAAAGGAAAGGAATTTATTTCTTATAGTTCTAGAGGCTGAGAAGTCTAAGGTCAAGAGGCGAAATCTGGTGGCAGCCTTCCTGCTGGTGGGGACTCTCAGCAGAGGCCCGAGGTGGTGCAGGACATCACATGGTGAGGGGGCTGAGTGTGCTAACATGTTATTTTAGGCAGGTCTCTCTTATCAAGCCTCTAGTTCCCTTCCCACGATAACCCAATTAATCCACTGATGGGGCAGAGCTCTCATGATCCAATCACTTCTTAAAGGCCCTACCTCTCAATACTGCCACATTGGAACGTAAGTTTCAACATGAGTTTTGGAGAAGCAAATATTCAAGCCATAGCCTCAACTTTCAATACCACCACCAAAAATATCTATTTAGGGAAAAAATAAATAAATAAAGGGTGGGGGGCTGAACTGAGTCATAGCTTTGGGTTAGTTCAGCATAAATTGTTCAAGAAAACCATGGAGCAGAGCTTCTGTACAGCACAAGTGGAAAGAGAATGAGGCTCAATAAACCACCATGTGTGCCTGCCCCATCCAGGGAGAAGTGGAGAGCTGAGCTGCTGTCACAGTGACCTTTGTTCTGTCAGTGACACATGCCCTCAGCCTGCTGTCCACTCAGCCCATCCTGCTGAAACCAAAGGGAAAAAGGAATAGCAGAAGGATGAGAATCAAACATCTGGTGGAGGAAGGAGGCCCGTGCTATTTGGATCTGGTATAAAGCTCCCAGGAATTGCAAAGCTGTTCTTAGCACATCAGCTCAGTGGGCCTGGGTGGATGGCAGCAGATGCAGACAGCAACACCAGGAGCAGGGGAAAGTCTGCCTTTTAAGGTTCATGTTCCCCAGCAGGCCCGTTCCCATTCCAAACACTTCTCCCACCATTCTCTCATCCCCAGTGTGTCATTTTACCCTAACTGTGTGTGTGACTCACATGAAACCGAGTTTCAATCTCATCACATACCACAGGGTATGTTTGGAAAACCTTTTGTGATTTAAGTAGATTTATTGAATGATTTCTATTTTAAAGTACTCCTAAATCCTAGTTTCATGGACATTTTATACTCAGAGAGTTATGTCTAGCCTTTAAATAACAACCTCACACATTCTTTCCAAGTTAAATTGCAATGGCTAGCCTTGCAAATGATTTGGTGCTTTTATAAAATACTGCATTAAGTCTTAAAGATAGATTTCTGGGAGAAAAGTTTCGATATGTGTGTCTTTTTGTATGTGTGGAGTTCTCTCTTTTGAAAGAGAAAAATTAGAAATTATATATGTGTTTAGAGATAGATTAAAATATCACTTAAAGCAGGAGAATGGCACAATCATAAGTGTTGAATTAAGCCATTAACCAAAGAGATTGAAAGGTGGAGACTGCCTAACAGGAAGGTATGCAACTTTCCCTAAATTCCTCCAGTCTGCACTGGCTCCAAGGAACCAACGTTAGAAGCTCCTGAGTGCTACAGGAATATCTCCGCCAAGGAAGCCATATATGCTCGTCCATCTAGTCCACAGGAAATCACCCTTGGCTCCCCTTTCTAATTCAAAGGACGCTTTTTTCCTCACTATTTTGGCAGCCACAAGCCTGTTAGAATCAAAGGAAGTCCTTTGTCTTTTCTGGGAGATCTCCATCTATGTGAGGATGTGCATCCAAGGCGACTTTCCACTCACTGAAGCTGACCCGCAGTTACTCACCAGTGCACTGGTGCCCGTCGCCAGCATAACCAGGCAGGCAGGCACAGCTGAACGCACTGCCTCCGTGGTGAACACACCGGGCCTGTCCAGCAGGAGCACAGGTATGACTGCCGTCCTCACAGGGGTTGGGAGGTGGGGTGATCACTGAAAAGAGAAAAAGGCAAGGGCGTCCAAGAGTTTAGGCCTGCAAAGGGTGAGCCTTGCTCCTCATGGCATGATCCACAGACCAACAGCAACAGACCAGGGAATGCAGGTTCTCAGACCCTACTCCAGGGGCAGTGATTCAGAATCTGGATTTTAACAAGATTCCTAGATGGTTCGTATGCTATTAAAGTTCAAGTACTGGTATGAATTTGTGGTTAAAATATTAAGCACAAAAACCCATCACCTAAGTAGTCTTCAATTAAACTTTATAACACTCCAGAGCAATTGCTACACACACACACACACACACACACACACACACACACGGTTTCTCTTATCACTTCTACCCCTCCTTATCCCAGTGAATTAAAGAGTGCATTTTCTTTTCTTTTTTCTTTTTTTTTTTTTTTTTTTTGAGGTGGAGTCTCACTGCATCACCCAGACTGGAGTACAGTGGTGCAATCTTGGCTCACTGCAACCTCCAGCTGCCGGGTTCAAGTGATTCTCCTGCCTCAGCCTCGTGAGTAGCTGGGATTACAGGCGCAAGCCACCACGCCCAGCTAATTTTTCTATTTTTAATAGAGATAGGGTTTCACCATGTTGGTCAGGCTGGTCTCGAACTCCTGACCTCATGATCCACCCACCTCAGCCTCCCAAAGTGCTGGGATTACAGGCGTGAGCCACCATGCCTGGCTAAAGAGTGCATTTTCTTTACTCTCATCCAGCTTTATCAATGGGATGAATTGGGATAGTTCTTTTGATTCATTCTTAGGTCTGTAGTATTTTTTGGAAATATAGAAGGGGTAATTTGTTACAGAAGGAGCTCTTTAGCCAGTCAAGCAGGACACGCATCAGTGAATGATGAATCCATCTCTTCTAATTTGAAAAATACTTTAGGCTCTATCTAAAGAGCTGGAGGTGTTTACTAGAGAGGTTCATCATCTTATTACATGATTGGGCCAGAAATCCCAACTGAGGTGGGCATCCTTCAGTAACTCAACATCAAAAATATCAATTCAGGGAAAAACAGTGAAAATAAACAGGGCTGAAACTGAGTGATAGCTTTGAGAGATTTTGTTTTGTGTTTGTTTGTTTGAGACAGTCTCACTCTATTACCTAGGGTGGAGTGTACTGGCATGCTCTCAGTTCACTGCAACCTCTGCCTCCTGCGCTCAAGCAATCCTCCTGTCTCAGCCTCCTGAGTAGCTGGGACTACAGGCTTGTGCCACCACACCTGGCTAATGTTCTGTATTGTTTGTAGAGATGGGGTTCTGCCATGCTGCCCAGGGTGGTCTTGAACTTCTGAACTCAAGCGATCCACCTGCCTCAGCCTTCCAAAGTGCTGGTATTACAGGCGTGAGACACTACATCCAGCCAGCTTTGGGTTATTTTAATGTAAACTGTCTTCTAAAGAAAACCATATAGCAGAGCCTCTGAATAGCAGAAGTCAACACATTGATAAAGGGCAAGATTAAAGAGCACCATTTTGGCCACACAAGAAAATGATTTTGGAACTCACAGATGCAAGTATGCCGGTCATCTGCAAACTCATAACCACTCCGGCACTCACACCTGTAGGTTCCAGGCAAGTTAATACACACGGAGTTGGGGCCACAGCGATGAAAGCCAGTTGCACATTCATTTTCATCTAAGAAGAAATGAGAACAGAAAAATTCTGCTTAATTCAAGGGTCCCGGAAGTGGAGGGTCTAAAAACTCAATGTTTTCTGACCAGTATGATGCTTCAATGGGACAAATGGTTGGCAGATGTAGAATTCTTAAAAATCAGATATGAATGCATGTTGCAGATAACCAGAAATAGTAAAAATTTCATGCCATTCAAGTAAACACCACAGGAAGATACATTTTTAAGTGAATATTCTAAGACTTCTTTAACTGTTTTAAAAATAATGGATACTTGGAAGAAAACCAACAATTTTTTTTTAATATCAAAAAATTTCTACCGTTGCCTTTTGGGGATATAAGAAACACAATGTCTGTCTAAAATTTAAAGAAAACCAGAAAATGAGATTTTTAGTAAGTCTAAGAACTACTTATTACAGGCTCAAAATTACAAAACTTAACTCAAAACATCCAGGAATTGCAACAGATGTTTTCTTTTCACAGCCCCAGTGCAAAATCCACTCCACTCCAAACCATCTTTTCAAACCTAAACAGCTATGCTTTAATTTTTAAATAACTATATTCAGATTAACAACTGCTAAAATCATTGGCAATGGAGGTTGTAAAGGTGACAGATACTTGTCTTCTACAGATATAATGCTGGGAGGGCAGAGGAAGAACAAGGGCTACAAGAAGGAGACACGAGAACATAGCTCTTACCCACACAGTTCCGTCCATCTCCCTGGTACCCAGAGGCGCACTCACAGGTGTAATCTACACCTGTCCCCGGATGGCACCGTGCTGTTGTGTCACACATGTGGCTCCCATCATAGCAAGGATTCACCGGAGTGGGGTCTGAATCCTCTGCTTGAGTAGAGGGGACATAAAAGTACAATCTGGCGATTGGTAAGAGAATGTCACAGATAGAGATAGAAGAGTCCTCGGAACTGACTGCATGTCTGTTTTGTGACACACCTGGAGACCTTACTCAATTATCCATATCCGAAGCTAGGGATTTTCTGCACTACAGTTTTAAACTCCAGCATGCCTTCCTATTGCCTACCCTACAGACAACTAGTACCTTTACTTGCTTTCAGTAGGTTTGCATCCAGGGAATAAAAACGCCCAACACATCTGTTTTAAAAGTGCTTTTGCTCTATTATTTCCTGTGATTATTGGGATAATTCTGTGTGGTGAGCTGTTATCCCCATTATGGGTCATTTTCACAGATAAGGAAATTGAGACATGGGAAAAATTGCCCAAGCTCACAAAGTCAGGAAGTGGCACAGCAAGGACTCAGACTCCAACTTCCTGGTTCTAAATCTCTCGATCTCTTACTAAAATTCCCAATTTTTATGGGCAAATCCAATTAATTAAAAAAATCTTGCTGTTTAAAGATTCCTAAGACTAAACGGGAATGACTTACCCAGTATTTACTCTTCAGGAGTAGCCTTACCAAGGATCCATCTACTCACTAGGTAGAGATTACTTAACAACTGAAACCTTCCCTAGAGAAGTCTATTTTGGCTGAGCATGGTGGCTCATGCCTGTAATCCCAGAACTTTGGGAGGCTGAGGTAGGAGGATCATTTGAGGCCGGGAGTTCAAGACCAGCCTGGGCAATATGCCAAGACCTTATCTCTACTAAAAAAAGAAAGAAAGAAAATTAGCGGAGCATGGTGGCCCATGCTTGCAGTCTCAGCTACTCCAGAGGGTGAGGCAGGAGGATGACTTGAGCCCAGGAGCTTAAGCTTGCAGTGAGCCATGATTGTGACACTGCACTCGAGCCTAGGTGACAGAACAAGACCACGTCTTAAAAAGATATATTTATTTCTACATAATCATCAATGCTCATTGAGCATTTATGTGTGAGGCACTGTTCTAAACAGAAGAATGCCTGATTACATCCTCCTAACTACATGGTGAGGAAAATATTATCTCCACTTCTGCATCACAGAGAGGCCAAATAACCTGCCCAGAGTAACACCGTCAGAAGAGGTGGATGGAGCTGGAATAAAAGTCTAGCAATCTGGCTCCATAGCCCATGCTTTCCACCGCTTTGCTGCAACCCTTGCTGAAGGAACTTCATGAAGTTATCTCGTCTACCAATGGCATAGAGGTATTGGAAGGAGTGTCAGATGCTCAGGTAGAATGAATCTATCAACTCGAGCACTTCTGTGTACTTCCAATTCTGCCATGTAAAATGGAAATAAGAATATGTACATTTGCCAATCCTGCTAAAGAAAATTAAGAAAACCTAACAGAATATATTTGAAAGGCAGTTCCCCGTTGGCAGGTCTACCCAGTCTCTACTGACTGCATTCCTTCTGCCTTCTCAGTGGGGCCACTGTTCATCATTATTTGAGGTTCTAGCTCAATCTCAGTCCCTAGAATTAACTCTAATCTTAGACTCAAAAAATTTCCAGAGCCCCAGCTAAGCCTGTCAGGTTCTACATTGAGCCATCTCTGCTACGAAGGGGGCTCCATCTAAGTTGTAATAACTCAGGCTTCTGCCTCATACTTCTGTGCCTGGGGCCCTGGTCTTGATAGCCAGCTTAGCATCCTCTGAGTCCCGTGCTGCTTGCCAGTTCTCACTACCCCCAGACACCAGCATCATGGCATCTGTAGGCAGACTCTGTCAGTACCACACCCGTTTTTACCACCTCCTCCTGGATTCTCTATCACTTCACTCTGTCTGACCCATGTCCCCCACCCTGCTTTGTACAGAATCTTCTATTAAAATGGAGAAACAACAACAGGAGAGAATCAGGTTCTTGTCTTATACTGAGCCTTCAGTGAGGACATGACCCTGTTGTTCTCCATTGTAACAGATGCTGACTCAGGAACCTGGTCTATGCTCTCAACTCGGCAACCACAACCCTACTGCTATCGGGGGAGACTTGCCCAAAGTGACTCCTAGTCTAGATCCCAAGTGCTGACTGCTGCAGCCATCCTCTTAGACTGGACTCACTCCCAGTCCTTCAGAGTGTCTGGCATTCTTCCCAGTGCCTGCCCTACTGCCCATGCTATGGCTCTTCCAAGTGCCCTCTCATAGCCTGCTGTGAGCTGCGATGCCTTGGCTGAGACAATCTTGTTTTCTGGCAAACCCTTTCCAACCCACTTTATAAGAAACACCACAGTGCATTCTTGGAGTGGAATATTCCCATATTATTGATTCCCGTATTATTGGCTGAAAATAAGGAGGGCTATGGGGTTTATCCTCAGTTCACCATAATATTGTTGGCCGGAGTAACAGAATCTTTGCCAAAACAAAGGACCAACAAAAAATTCTAGCACTTTTTAAACCTGATGAACTATGTAAGCATAAGCCTAGCTCCCTGAAGCATGCAGACATCCTTGGAAGTCTGTTCCTCTGGATCTCTTGGCTGACAGGAAGAAGGCACTACGCTGGGGTTGTGGTTGCCAGGTTAACTTGAGCCTAGACCAGGTTCCTGAGTCAGTCCCTCAACAGGTTATAACTGAGGACAAGGTCATGTCCTCATCCATGAGGACCCAATGTAAGACAAGAATATGATTCTCCCCCATCATTGTTTTTCCATTTTAGGCAGATTCTGTACAAAATGCCTGGCATACCCCACCAAAGCAGGAAGTAATCATCAACATGTTTTAATTTATAGATACTAATGCTTAGCCTTCTTATTCAGTACTTTCCAGCATCAAAATTTCACCATGGCACATTCCAGCAAAGATTAGTGAGTTCACATGGACATCAAGAGCTTACCACCCTGTTAGGCATTACAAGAAAAAAACAAAAACAAAAACTCAGCTCAGAAGTTGACTTGCAAACTTGGATGGGCTATATTATCCTATCTAAAATTGAGAAGGAAGTGTCCCTAATTACTCAATACTGATTTAAAACGTATGTCACTTACAGGATTAGTTCCATAATTTGCAATCCCCAGTGCAGAATGAAAATGTGGAGCCCATGGTTCAAAGTAAAGCATGAAAGCAAGCATGGCGCTCTTCTGAGCACTGGGCCCCATTCGCTGAACTTGACTTCCCAAAACATTTTTAAAATACATTTCTAAAACCATTTCACGACTCCTTCTCTATGACTTGTAAGCTTTTCTCCTATTATAGTAAGTAAAGAACAGCAGTATCCTTCTTAAGATATTTTCTATTTCACCCTCTTAAACTGCTCAACTCTCCAGCAGAGGATCTGGAACTAATTTACTCATTTAATCAAGGGGAAGAGCGGTTTTCCTTAAAGAAACAGTCCGTTCAGCTTCACTGCACGGCCCTCTGCCCAGAGCCTCCTCAACTTGCCAAAACGACCATTGAAGTGGAAGGACAGGAAGGATTTTTGGATCCTGTTTTATGACCCCACAAAACGACGAGGAAAAAAAAAAACAAAAACGGCTAGCTCACACTTAAAACTTAAAGCTCAAACAATTGGTGGGGGGTGGCACTGCTGGTTGGGAAGTCAACGAGGGACAGAGGCGTCGATACTCACTGGGAAAGACACCCCAGTTCTGCAGCCTTGCCCTGGGAAATCGTGCCACACCCACATCAGGTGTGGACAGCTGTGCTGTTTCCCATGAATTTCAACCAGATGATAGCTCCCTCTGGAAAAAGTGAGCAGTTCTTAGGAAGATACTGCTATGCACCAAGAGGGGAAAGGAAAAACTTGTCTGTTGGTGTTTCTTTTTTGTTGTTTTTCTTTTTTTTCCTTCTATTCAGGTAGAATGAACAGTACTGCTGTGGGTAGATGAAGTAGGGTTCAAACACAAAGGGTTTAAAAGACACACATTGCCTCTTTTAAAGTTTGGTCTAAATTATGAGGCAGTCATGAGGCCAGTGTGGAATATCAGAGCCATGAGGGGTAAGGGTGTGTATACTGGAGCCAGTGCCCTTGAGTCCCAGCTCACCACTTACTATGACCAGGCAAATTACCTCATTTCTATACCTCAGTCTCATTATCTGTAAAATGGGATAACAACCCCACCCCTACCCCACCATTGGGTAGAGGTCGCTGTGGGGATTAAATGAGTTAATTCATGTAAGGTGCTTAGAACAGTACTTGGCACCAAGTAAATCATCCTTTGATATTATTTGACTGGGGTGATAGGGAAAATCATAAAATTCTAAAGAAAACAAGCAACTTGGTACCTGCCAGTTTGCTTTCTGATCCTTTCTTACTCTCATTTGGTATGTCTTCTAGGAAAAATACACCCAGAGATACATCTTTTTCCTAAATGGTTCCAGAATCTGAATGGGACTCCGTAGCCTGGGAGATTATTTCACGAACGGTTGCTTTTACAGATCAGATGCCTACACCCAACACAGGGCTGACCCGGACATTTAAAGGTAAAGACCATTCTCCCCAGTAGTTTTGTTTAAATCTCTCATTGAGAAATCTAGTACAGCAATCTTTCCCTTTCTAATTTACATGTTCCCCTAAAATCAACTCACATTTTCATGTGTTCATTTGCTACCTTACAATCCCATCTCTGGGCAACCAGTGCCTACATTCCCAACCAAGTTTCTTAAAACCAATCAACCAAACCACCTCGAGATTCTCATTACAAGTCACTTCCACATCCTAGAAAACAGTCCCGTCTTGATACCTTAATCTTGTCCTATTGCTGAAGCAACACTTCTTTATTGAGCCTGCTGAGGCTTAAGGAGCCCTCAGCTCCAATAACAAAGCACAGAACTGTGTATCACTTACAGATTTCACCTCGCTGAGGAGCTAACTCTGGGCTCAACAGTTTCAATACAGTGGCTGTGAATGAAGATGTTTTTTTTCTCCTTGTGTGGCTCTCACATTCCAGGGGAAAACATGACCTGGTTTTCAGAACTAAATGTCCCCTTGATCTGACAAAGCCACTCCCCATCTGTAGAGTTCCCTGACTTCACAAGCTCATCCTCTGGCTTGCTTGAAACATTTTTTAATAATTAAGACCTTGCTCTTTAGGATGGTTTTACATTTAGAGAAAAATGGAGCAGGAAGTACAGAGCTCCCATATCCCCCCGCTCGCAATGTGCAGTTTCCCCTATTAACATTGTGCATTAGTGTGGTGCATTTGTTATCCCCGATCAATACTGATACATTATTAACTAATGCCCATAGTCTGCAGTAGGGCTCTCTTGGTGTTGGACAGTTCTACAGACTGACAAACACATAATGGCCTATATCCAACATTACAGTATCGTACAGAATAGTTTCACTGCCCTAAAAATCCCGTGTTCCACCCATGCATCCTTCTCCTCCTTCCTCCCGAACCACTGGCAAGCACTGATCTTTTTACTGTCTCTAGAGTGTAACCTTTTCCAGAATGTCACAGTTAGAATGATTCTGTATGTAGCCTTTTCAGACTAGCTGCTTTCACAGAGCAACATGCTTTTAAGTTTCCTGCATGTCTTTCTGTGGTAATGATATGCTTAGAACATTTTAAAATCAGTCTTCACAGGTGAGGCTAACGGTCATTGAAATTTGAGAACCACTGCTTATTTTGAGACGGGTCTTGTTATGTGGCCAACACTGGTCTCAAACTCCTGGGCTCAGGTGATCCTCCCACCTCAGCCTCCAGAGTAGCTGAGATTACAGGTGCAAGCCACTGTGCCCGATGAGAATGGTTTTAGAGTTTTGTTTCTAATACTGTTTGCTTCTATTTTTATTTTTTGAAGCAGAGTCTCACTCTCTCGCACAGGCTGGAATGCAGTGGTGCGATCCCGGCTCACTGCAACCTCCGCCTCCTGGGTTCAAGCAATTCAGTTTCAGCCTCCTGAGTAGCTGGGACTACAGGCATATGCCACCACACCTGGCTAATTTTTTTGTGTGTATATATTTATATTTTTTTTTATTTTCTTTTGTAGAGACAGGGTTTCACCATGTTGGCCAGGCTGGTCTTGAACGCCTGACCTCAGGTGATCCACCCACCTCAGTCTCCCAAAGTGCTGAGATTACAGGCATAAGCCACCATGCCCGGCCTTCAATTGAGATGTAATTTATATACCATACAATTCATCCATTTAAAGTACATAATTAAACAATTTAGTATATTCAGTGTTATACAACCATCACCACAATCAATTTCAAAACATTTTCATCACCCCCAAAATTAACCCTGTACCCTTTAGCTATTAACTCCCTATTCCCTCATTATCTCTTAGCCCTGGGCAACCACAAATATGCTTTCTATATATATGGATTTGCCTATTTTGGATATTTTACATAAATGTAACCATTTAGTGTGCTGTCCTTTGTCACTGGCTACCTTCACTTAAGGTTTTCAGAGTTCATCCATGTTGTTGCACATATCCATACTTCATTCCTTTTTATGGTTGAATAATATTCCAGTATATGAATATATTTTTTGGTGTCCATTCATCAACTGATGGACATGTGTGTTGCTTCTACCTTTTGGCTATTATGAATAATGCCACTATGAATATACACAAATCAGTTTTTGTAGGGACCTATGTTATTATTTCTTTTGGGTATATAGGGAGGAGTAGAATTGCTCCATTAAATGGCAACATCGTGTTTCACTTTGAGAAACTGCTATTTTCTGTTTTTCACAGTAGCCACGTCATTTTATAATCACATCAGCAACGTATGAGGGTTCCGAGTTTTCCACGTTCTAGCCAACACTTATTACCCGTTTTTTGATTATACTCAACCACATGAGGTAAAGTAGTATTTCATTGTGGTTTTGATTTGCATTTCCCTGATGACTAATGATGCTGAGCATCTTCACACATGCCCATTGGGTGGGTATCTGTATATCTTTCTGGAGAAAGGTTATTGCAGATCCTTTGCCCATCTTTTAGTTAGCTTGTTTCTGAGTTGTAAGAATGCTTCATATACTCCAGAACAAGTCTTATTAAATATATGATTTAAAATACTGTCTTCCCATTCTATGGGTTGTGTTTTCACTTTCTTAATAATGTCCTTTGAAGCACAATTTTTTTTTTTTTTTTTTTTTTTTGAGACGGAGTCTCGCTCTGTCTCCCAGGCTAGAGTGCAGTGGTGCGATCTCCACTCACGGCAAGCTCCGCCTCCCAGGTTCACCCCATTCTGCTGCCTCAGCCTCCAGAGTAGCTGGGACTACAGACACCCACCACCATGCCCAGCTAATTTTTTGTATTTTTAGTAGAGACGAGGTTTCACTGTGTTAGCTGGGATGGTCCCCCATCTCCTGACCTTGTGATCCGCCCACCTTGGCCTCCCAAAGTGCTGGGATTACAGGCATGAGCCACCAAACCTGGCCTGAAGCATAAACTTTTAAAATGTTGATGACACCCAGTTTATTTTGCTGTTGCTTGTGCTTTCAGTGTCGTACCTAAGAAACCATTACCGAATTCAAAGTCACAAAAATTTACCCCCAATTTTTTTTCTAAAAGTTTTAGCTCTTACACTTAGGTCTGTTGGTCCATTTTGAGTTGATTTTTGGATATGCTGTGAGGTAAAGGGTTCAACTTCATTCTTTTGTATGTGGTCACTCAGTGGTCCCAGCACCATAGTTAACAGTTTAAAAGACTATTCTTTCTCCATTGAATTGTTTTGGCACTGTTGTTGAAAAAGCAATCGACTTTTAATGTGAGTGTCTATTTCTGGGTTCCCACTTCTATTCCCTTGATCTGTACGTGTATTCTTATACCAGGACCACATTGTCTTAATTACTCTACATTTCGACTTTGAGAAATATGAGTCTGACTTTATGCTTCTTTTCCGAGATTGTTTTGGCTATTCTGGGTTCTTTGAATTTCCATATAAATTCTAGAATCAGCTTGCCAATTTCTGCAAAGAGCCAGCTGAGATTCTCATAGGGTTTATGTTGAACTAATAAATCAATTCAGGAAGTATTCACATCTTAACCATATTAAGTCTTCCAATCCATGAATATGGAACGGTCTTCCCATTTAACTCGGTCTTAACTTTTTTCCAAAAAATGTTTTGTGGGATGCAATGTACAAGTACTGCACTTCTTTTTAAAAATTTATCTTTCTGAAACAATTTCTTAATCTTCAGTTTGCTTATTGCTACTATAAATACAATTAATTGGGTGTACTGATCTTGCATATCCTGTAACATTGCTGAACTTGTTCTTTAGTTCTAATAGTTTTTTAGTGAATTCCTGAGATTTTCTACAAAAAATGTCATCTGAAACTAATTTTACTTTGTCCTTTCCAATTTAGATGGCTTTTATTTCGTGTTCTTGCCTAATCACCCTGGCTAGAACTTCAAGTACTGAATTGAATAAAAATGGCAAGAGCAGACATCCTTCTCTTGTTCCTAAGCTTCAGGGAAAAGCATCCAGTCTTTCACCATTAACCATAATGTTCTGGGGATCGTGGAGGGGGAGGTTATACATCAAGTTCCATGATGTTTTGTTTTTCCAGGTACTAGCTCTTTGCCCCACCTTGGTTTTGGATGAAATTCTCCTCATCTGTTTTAGCTACAATGTCACTTTCATGGTGATATCTCTCCTCAATCTTCAAACTAGACTCATAGTGCCCTGCACTTATCACACTTGTAACAAATACTTGTCAGCATTGCTCTCCCTAATTCCAGTCCACCTTGTTCACAGGTATATTCCTGATGGGCACACACAGTTGGGTATTGCTCTAAACCAGTCTCACATACCATGCTCTATTTCCTGACTTTGGCAGGGACACTGTTCCCTGCCCTAAAACTCTTTTCTGCCTGTTTCCAACTCAAGGGCAAGGATCTGTTCTATTCATCCTTATACCTAGCACCTAACACAGCCTGGCACTAGGTAACCCTTAGTAACCTCTGTGAATCATTTTAACTCTACTTAAAAGGATGTCATTTTTACCCAACAACAAAAAAAGGAAACCTTACCTTCAGCCGGGCCAATCTGATTGGTCACAGCAAATCTAAGCACTCTTTCTTCATCATTATACAAGGCAAAGACCCGGTCCACGCTTAGCTGCTGGGTGGTAGGGAAGGCCGGGCGTCTGGGGGCGTGCCTGCACACCTGGTAAGTGATGTTCTGGTGGATGCGGTAGGACCATGTTTGGTTGATTGCACCAAAAGTCAGAGAGTAGTCTCTGGAACTTGTAGAGGTCACAGCTGCAATAAACACATTGGTAGTTTTTTTTAAATATTAAATAAAGAGATTTTCATGTGGGGTGGATTTTTCTGCAGAGTTTTTCATCTAATTCTTGGAGTGTGTTCCCTTGGGAACTTCCTGAGTTTATATGAAAAAATTTGCAAGGAAATCCCAAAAACCTGAGTGGATGCAAAGCCACAGTGCTGAGGGGGAGAAGGCACTACAGTTGTCCGTGTTATTATATGCAAAGAATAAGTGTTACTGAGTGCCAGTCATGCCAAGGGTGCTCTATACATACTGCCTCGTTTCTTCCTCACAACAGCCTGGTGAGGTGGGCACTGAATTGTGCAATCAGAGGCTCACAGAGGTTAAGTAGCCTAAGATGCAACGCTGCTTCATGGTAGAACTGAAAATGAAACTCACACTGGTTTGACTCTACACCCTAAATTTTAAACCAATCCATCCTCTACATTGCACAGAAGTGATGACTTCCAACACCTTGCACTTCAGTAAATCTGAAGGATTCCAGAGAAAGGAAAGGGTTGTCTCTCACAATCTGAGTCTAGGAGTCAAGCCCAGGTCAGTGATCCGGACACTGACCATTTTGTTCACAGCCCAGGTCGCTGCTTCCCATTGTCTTCCCTACATCTCCTGCCAGGCTGCCAGCTCTCGGCATAGGAGCAGCAGGGGTTAGAGGAAAGGCACAACTCAGTCCGGATTGCTGTGCTGCACAACAGCAACTGTGATAGAGGCCACATCCTGTATGCAGGTAGTATTTTCACAGAACACATCACGCTTCACACACATTATTGACCATGTAACATAGAAAAAACATTTTTAGTTCTATGGTAAAGATGAGAAAAATACATTCTCAGATATTAAGAGGCCTTTCCCTACAGATATTAAATGGCAAATCCAGGATATAAGTTATCTTTTGACTCCAAATCTAGCATTAGTTTTATAATAAAATACAGCATCTCTGTGTTTTTGGTTTTGTTTTTGAGATGGAGTCTCGCTCTGTCACCCAGGCTGGAGTACAGTGGTGTAAGCTTGGCTTATTGCAACGTCAACTTCCTGGGTTCAGGCAATTCTTCTGACCCAGCCTCCCAAGTAGCTGGGATCACAGGAGCACGCCACCACACCCGGCTAATTTTTGTATTTTTAGTAGAGACAGGTTTTCACCATGTTGGCCAGGCTGGTCTCAAACTCCTGACCTCAGGTGATCAACCTGCCTCAGCCTCCCAAAGTGCTGGGATTACAGGCGTGAGCCACTGCACCGGGCCTCTGATTTTTAAAGCAACCTGAACTCATCAGCTGAAACAAGCCGAGACAAATTCCAATAATCAATATTTTTCCATGTTGCAGAAAGTAGGATGGTTAAAAACTGTATATAATTATACCATCCCTACCTACCCCATGGACAATGTTGCTATTGATTTTATTATTTGAAAGTACTAGGTAGGGATACAGATATTGTGTATAGCAGCCAGCATTCTGCTCACTTACACATTTTCTTATAACAATAAGAGTAATAACAGAGCTCATTTTATGTTCCATGCACTGTTCTAGGACATGGCATATAAGTCATTTAAGCCTTGTATCTATCTTGTAAGATGGGCATAATCCCCATTTTACAGATGTGAAGACTGGGTTATACATACTGGAGTCTGAGTAGTGGTACAGCTCCTTGTAGGGAGAGATGTGGGCTGTGAAATTTGCTGGGATGTAAGGCACCTGGCCTTGAATGTTGGTCTTAATGCTCAGATAGTTCTCTGGGTCAAGTCCCTCAGCAGTTTGAGTGATATGAACCCTCTCCTCTCCCGGGTAGAATGTAACTTCCATGTCATGGGTAAAGGCAGCACCTGGAGATGAAAAACATTCAGCATAGGGATGAAAAGAGGTCGCGCTTAAACAGTTACCAATACATACCGCCCCCTCCCAATTTCTACTGCTGTTGGAGATCGTGCCTAAGGAGATTATGTGATACTGAGAGTAAACACTATCAGCTGTTGATTCCATAAGTTCCCAAACTTTTCCATTGAAGAATATAGTTTCATCCTGCTGTACCTCACCCAGCTTCTCTTTAAACAAGCTTGTATTCTGTGAGAAATACTCTTGGGAACGCCCTTGACTTTTCTCTAAGGTTGCTAGACTTAGCAAAAAACATATAAGCCTAACAACAACAACAACAACAAAAAAACCACCCAAGACATTCAAGGGTGTTTTTGTTTGAATTTCAGATAAGTATGTCTCATGCAATATGTGGGGGATACTTATACTAGAAAATTGTTTATCTGAAATAGAAATTTAACAAGGTGTGCCCTATTTTATCTACTTTTGACACAAGGGCTTTATTCAAATTTTGATTAAAGGCAAGAACCTATAAACAGCTACTGAGCTCTGCAGTTAAAGATGGGGAAGAACTTCTCACAAAACTATTTTTCATGCAATAAAGATAAAACCACTAGGAAACAAGTTTTCAAGTGGGAAGGTGAGAATCCAAAAAGTATCTTCTAAATCCTTGTTGTCAATGGGTGGCCTTTCCAGCAGCACTGGTACCTCCTAGGAGCTTGGTAGAAAAGCAAAATCACAGACCCCCTACCCCAGGCCTGCTGAACCATAATTCACATTTTGACAAGACCTCCAGGTGATGTGTGCAGGTGCAAGTCTGGGGCGCACCCCCCTATACTATTATAGGTTGCAGAGCTGGGAGAAGGGCACCCCTTCACCATGAAGTAAAATCATCCCCAGGTGCCCTAAGTACCATTTTTGCATTTGACAGATCTGTGCATAATTTAAAAAGCCTGACAAATATGCTTCAATGAATTGGAGTAAGAGGACACAAATGTTCTGAATGGAATCATCCTGTTTCTCAGAACAGCTGGGAGAACATTTAGAAGAAATCACTGCCTTTCAAAAATCAGTGATGTGAGGTCAAACAATTCCCAACAACCTCTGGCCAGAGAACTACACACATGTGGCTCTAGAACGTTAAACAAGTGATTCCTCTTTCACTGTGTAAAGGCCTAAAGACATTGCCCCAAGAAGCACCACTGCCAAATCAACACTGACTACCGACTTTCTCAGAGGCCCTACTCACCTGCGAGGCTGAAGCCATTCTCAGAGCCAGGTTTTTCTAAAGCAAAGAGCCAGCCAAACAGGCCTCCAATTGGTGTGAGTGGGAGGAGGGCCTGGGCTGCTGGCTGTGGGATGTGGCTGATGGCTGTGTAGGCTCTGCCGTCATTGCCCACAACATACGCATGCAGGTCCACGTCAGTGAAGTGCACAGGTGTATGGCCCACGCGGAGGTGGCCACTCACTTTCCCATTCACTCGGTGAGGTGCCCCTAAAAGACAGCAAATCCAGTTAAGCTTGGGCATCATCCTGGCTAGAGATGGGTGTACACAGGTATAATTATTCCATTGACAACTTCCAAAACTCACTCTTTAGCAAGTCGCTTTAATGATTTCCTAACCAACCAATTATCCATATATGAAACAGTCCTGCCTCCAGTCTGTTTTCTCCCCTCCTCCTCTCCACTACAACTTTGGCTCTAATGAGCTGGTAGAAGGAAGCATTTCTGGATAATCCTCAAATTGAGAATCAGCCCAAACCAGTTCATTCCTCAAACATTTATTGAGCACCTCCAAGTTGATAGCACTCTGATTTAAGTAGTGGAGATGTTTGGTCCATAAAGCAGAGCTCACAGTGGTAGCTGGAAACAGGTAAGCAGCAGGAATAGACACACAGGAGTTCCCAGTCCCAGTAATTACCTTCGGGCAGACAGTGCTTCCCATTTCCATAAAACTTGGATTGGCAGTGGCAGCAGAAGCCAGTGGCATAGTCCGTGCAGAAGGCATGCCGGGAGCATTGTCTGTGGTTGTGTTCACAGGTTTCCTTGTTGGCAGCATTATATATGAAGACTGAAAAATAAAACAAACTTGCCTTAAAAGGACTAAATGATTCCAATGTCATTGCTGCATCAGGGACACAGCATCCGCTCCACAGAAGCAGTTTAGATCATAGCAAACAGTTTTTGATGTTTGAGAGACTGGGGTAACATTCAACCCAAGGGAATTAACCTGCTTTGTCTGCTGGCAAGAAGAATTGCTTACTGCTCCCAGCTGGGTCTCATTGCAGAGTTGGTGAACTAAGATGAGGCTGCACCTGTGCGTTTGAGCGCAGTAAAATGAAAGCGAACCAGTAAGTACGCGTTAGATTAAACTTCATGAAACCACTATTTTTGCGGGTCATAAAGGGCTAAATATCAGCACTTTTATATGGTTCAACCTAAAGACATCCTGAGAGGAAGACATAATGGAGAACTAACAAATGTCTTATGTCTAACCATCCTTCTTTCAGGTAACACTGAACTTAATAGCTGGTCTCACTACCAAGATTGTTTTGAGGGAAGAGTCTTAAAGAACACATGCACCTACCTCAAAGAAAGGGCAGGAGGAGAAGGGGATGGAGGAAGGCAAAGCAACAGGGATTCAAGCTATTAAAATGCCCTACGTCCTCGGCAGGGTTTAACTATGATGGGTATGGTACAAGCATGATTTCCATGCAATAGCAGACAGCTTGGGCCCCACTCGCAGATCTTCCAGAAATTACGGGGGACCAAGATAAGCTCAGTGCTCCAGCAGCTGTTGCTTCCGTTTCCTACTTATTGTACCCATTAAAAGAAGAGGGCCATCTGTGCTGCAAAGAAATGGGGAGACTGCAACAAACGCCATGGTTCATAAAGGAAATGGCCAAGAGGGTAGGGTGTGGCGGGGGTTGTGGATGGACAGGGGGGTGCTTTCTCGAGGACACTGGGGAATATGCCAATCCCAAGCATAGCCACCAGGAGGCCCAGTGGCTGCACACACCTCTGCCTCTGCATCTCCAGGAGGTGGAGTTGGCTGGAGACTCCAGGAGCTGTTTAAGCAGGGATGGCATGGAATTCTAGCTTGAGACACTGATGCTAGTGTGAAGGAGGACACCCTACTCTTAGGGAAAACCAAGTGGTAGTTATGTTCCAGGTCTATCTGGAAAGGAGACAGAAGTGGAAGGAAGAAATCCAAAGATCAATCTTTACCCAGTATTCCCAGGGAGAACAGAAAGCAAAGGAACTAATGAGACATAGCATCATATAGGTAACAATGTCACCAGGATAAAGACTTCCATCAGCAAATTAAAATGTAACAAAGTTAACACTGAAATAGCGCTTAACATTTACAAGCTTTACGTTTATTAACTCTTAATTTACACAACAACCCTAGGTAGCAGGGACTCTGTTGTTGTTGAGACAGGGTTTTGCTCTGTCACCCAGGCTGGAGAGCAGTGGTGCAATCTCGGCTCACTGCAACCTCAACTTCCCAGGCTCAAGCGATCATCCTACCTCAGCTTTTTGAGTAGCTGCAGCCACAAGCGTGCACCACACCTGCCTACTTTGTTTTTCAGTAGGTGTGGGTTGGTTGGGGGGAGGGGTCTCCCTGCATTGCTCAGGCTAGTCTCCGTCTCGAACTCCTGGGCTCAAGTGATCTTCCCACCTAGGCCCCCCAAAGTGTTGGGATTACAGGTGTGAGCCACCACTCTGGTCAGGGACAATTTTTTAACTTGTTTGGCAGTTAAAGCTGAGGCACAGTGGACTAAAGTGCCTGAAGTCACAAAGGCAGTGCGTAGCAAAGGTGGGATCTGAACCTAGGACATCTAGCTTGAGAATCTTAACTGCTGCTCTCCACCACCGCTTCACTGGGAGCCAAGTACGGAGATCATGAGCACTAGGTTAGGGATGCCCACTAGATTAGGGATGACCACGTGTCTGGGGTTGATCAGCACAGACTTCAAGTATAATTCGAGTCATACTTTATAAACCGGGTTTAATGATAGAAGCAAGCAGGGAGGATTATCTAGATGAATATTACAGCATGCTGAAAAACAGCACAGGTAAGAAATGAGAGTAGCAGCAGCGGCATTAACTTTTGGACAGTACTGGAGAGCTGCCTGCAGATCCTTGGGAAAGCAGCAAGCTGAGGGTTGGCAGAACAGACAGTGTCGGTTCAAGTGGAAAATCTGATTGGAACATAGTAGGAATGAAGTTATGACTCAAGATTTAGTATAGGGCCTTGATGACTTGGCTAAGAAATTCCAGTTTGATAAAAATAGAAAATTAGGCATGACTCAACTTTATTTAAACAAGAAAATGACAAGCTTAACTTAAACAGAAAATGATATAAAACTCAAGGCAGAACAACAACAAAAAAAACCCAGGATGGATTATGGTAAAATAGATGGCTGTGAAGAAAACTATCACTATTAAGAAAGGGAAAAAAAAATTTGGAGCGAAAAGAAATGAATGTAACTTGGGTGTGTCAAAATCTCAGGTTTCTACAGCTCAGAAATTCACAACTAAGTGTAAGGAAGCAGCTCCTGGAGGGACTCGCACACTCACACTCACCAGTGTGCTCATGGCTTAAGGGCCATCAGGACTTCCTCCCAGAGCGCAAGGAATGGGGACTGCAGAAAGCGCCCAGCTCTAGGACTCAACCTCAGCCCTCCCTCAGGGGCTCTGTGGAGACTGCAAACTCTGTCTTTCAGCTTCCTCATCTCTAAAATAAGTAGAACACCTCTTCCTCACACCTGCATTGCCAGAAGTCGCATTTCTTCTTAATGCACTTCTGAACGCCAAGTAAAAAGGCAATCTGCTACAGGTCTGAAGAGCAGCCATTTGGTCGGGCGCGGTGGCTCACGCCTGTAATCCCAGCACTTTGGGAGGCCGAGGGGGGCGGATCACGAGGTCAGGAAATCAGGACCATCCTGCCTAACACGGTGAAACCCCGTCTCTACTAAAAATACAAAAAATTAGCCGGGCGTGGTGGCAGGCGCCTGTACTCAGGAGGCTGAGGCAGGAGAATGGCGTGAACCTGGGAGGCGGAGCTTGCAGGGAGCCAAGATCACACCACTGCACTCCAGCCTGGGCGAGAGTGCGAGACTCCGTCTAAAAAAAAAAAAAAAAGCAACCATTTTCAGAAAATTCAGATAGAAATCAATCCAAACTCTACACTCTGTTCCACCCACAAATTAAGGAAACAACAGGCACGGATTGTATCCTATTTCAGTTATTTTGTGAAGCCTTATTCTGCAACCCAATTCTTATTCTAAGGCTGAATTATGAAACAGGGAGAGTGAAGATGGAGGACAGACAGTATAGATATGGAGAGTTAAACTAGGTGGAGTCATAGCTTTTATCTAAGTAAAAAGAGACAGGGCGATACAGCCAGCAACCTACAAGTGCAACTGTGCAAAGGTTTATAAGTAGATTGGAAGCTGGACTACATTTTTCTATCATAGAAAAAGAAATTATAACAATGAGTAGGCTCCCATGACAGGCTATTATGAGACTTAAACTGTAATTACAATGGGTTAACTAGTTACTGGTAAACTAACCTGAGAGTCTTTTTGAACAGTTTTTTGTGGGATATTGTATTTTTAGGATGATACTTACTGAGCCAAGAACACACACTCTCTCTTTCAGCTTCCTAACGGCCACAGGAAGGAAAGAAGATGGATCAGCCCCTAATCTGGGGGCAGGCAAGGCTCCATTTATAATCCCTCTGCCACGCCTGCCTTCATGCCCACGTGCACACACAGGTTTGCACACTTAGCATTTACAATGGCAGCTTGTTAGGTGAAAGGTAAATGCTTCTCACAATTTTTGTTCATTCATTCACTAATTCAACAAATATTTACTGGGTATTCACTATAGACCTGGCCTTAGTCTAGAAACTGGGGACATGGCAGGTAGCAAAAGAGACAAAATTCACATCCCAGCAGTAGTCAATAAACAGGTAAATTACTTAGTGGGGTGGATGTGTAAGAGCTGTGCAAAGAAATACAGCAGAGAAAGACAAGAGGGTGGGAGGGGGCAGGTGTACATGGCTCTTTTAAATAGCATGGTCAGGGAAGACCCCGGGAGAAGGTGACTGAGCAGAGGCCAGGAGGTGTGGGAGTGAACCCCACAGATGAGGGGAGGCGGGGTGCTGTGTCAGGCAGGAGGGGTGTGTGGGCATGTGGGAGGAATGGTGAGAGGAGAGGTGGCCTGGGTCATTCATGCAGGGTCTCAGAGGTCACAGGAAGGGTCTGGGCTTTCATCTGAGTGAGATGGGAAGCACTAGATGTTCTGAAGGTGGAACCAAGAAGGTTTGCTGGTGGATTGGATGTGGGATGATAGTCCTGAGATGGGAAACCAAAAGGGTGGGGCTGCCAGTTACTGAGACAGGGAGACTGAGGAGGAGCAGGTTTGTGGGGTTCAGTTCTGACAACAGCATGAGGCATCAAGGAAATTCACCAAGGGGTGAATAACAACTCACACCCTCAGCACAGCACCACGCAGTCCTTCACATGGAGAGCTGCATTTCTCCCGGTGGATTCCAGGGACCACGGCATCAGGATCACCTGAGGTTTCTGTTAAAAATGCAAATTCTGAGGGCCCACCTTAGACCTACCAATTCCACTCTCTGGGTGCATCCTAGCAATCTACACTTTAGCCACCCCACAAGTGATTCTCACACCAATTGATGTTGATAGAAGGCTTGGGATACTCACAAGCCTTGGATTTCTGAGCTAGGTGTTGCTCATTAATGTCGTTAACAAATTTAATCTGAGCAATTAGCAGCGCCTGGGGTGGGTAGAATGTTAGGAAATGCTCTCGTGCTCATTCCTGGCCATCTGAGAAGCAGAGCTCAGCCCACTTGGGCATCCATCCACAAGAATACCACGTGAAGATTCTTTAGTGAAGGTAACAGATGCACAGCAGCCAGATAGCCCTTCCCTGAAGAAGGGGGAGACCTGGAGCTAGAACAGTGCTTGAGCCCATGTGCAGCTATTTATCCAGGGCAAGAAAAGCCAGACCTCCAGCCAACGTGACTGCTCAAATTTC